CTTCTGCTGAACCCATTAGGGGATGGGATGCTCTCATACCTCCTGAGCTCCTCTCTCTATCCTCTCAATCTTTGAAGCGCCAAGAAGCCTCTAACTTGGACACAAAACTTGAAACATCATCTCCTCAGAACCCATCTCCTAATTAAGTGAAAGTTTTATTTTGTGCATCATATATGTGAAGCTAGAAATGTGATTTGATGTGTTGTTAAGAATATATAAATATACATGTAGTATGGTGAGTTGAATTTACAATATTGTTAGTCTTGATTAAGTTTTTATGTAAATGTATAATTAAATCGAGATAAAAATATCTCTTATCAGTTTGTAATCAATCCTAGTATATATATGTACTACTTTCTCTCAATCTCTACTATAACTTTTTCACTAAACCAAGATAGGAAAATTTCATTGTTTTAGAAAGAAGTATGTTTAGTAAGTTTTCTCACAAAGCTATGAATGGAAAAATAATTAATCTCGAATAAGCTAATCCAAACACAAAGTGATATCAAAAAATAAAGAAAGATATACATATATACATGTTATAAATTGTGATAAACACACTAGTGGGTCTAATTTTTTAATTATGTTATTAATGTAAAATATTTATCAACTTTCTTGATATTTACTATTTATCAGAGAATTTGATTGGCCACTTCAAGTGGATATCTTCTCTTCATCACACTTTTATCATCTACAAAAATAGAATCTGAAGCCTTATTTAAGGGATTGAGTCCAATTCTACTTTTATCATCCATGAACCACATGAATCATAGGTCTATCATAGATTTTGCCTTCATGTTAACATGACATATTATGTGAAGGATTATGTTTGGATTGAAGTTACAAAAATACTTTTAGAGATTCCAATGCATATTATCAAATTTCAAGGCACCAATTGAGAGGGAAAAAATCGTTTCTTTAAAAGTACAAGTACTTTTGAGACTCCCTAACCGTGATTCAAACATGAACGTATACCATTTAGTAACTAGGCAAAGTTTCATCACCATCCATGCATTCCACTCAAGAAGATCCTATTCACAAATTCCATTAAGAGATGATCGGAAAAAGATAGAGAAATTAACATAGTAACATGGTGAGAGTCGTCATAAAATACATCATATACATCCATCTCTATTGCACAAATAAGCATCCATTCATTGCCCATTCATAGAGAATGAATACAAAAAACAAACAAACCTAAGTACTTCACTTAATGTAGTATGGAAGGTCCAACACATAGAGGAGGAAGTAGGCCCAAATAACGCCAGAAATGCCTCCAAAGAAGAACCCACCAGTGAACTTGGCCCAACCATCAGCGGTTTGGAGCTGATCGGGCTCCTTCTTGCGGCCCGTTAAGGTCAGTGATGGGGCAGTGGATGGGTCTCCTTCGTTGAAGGATGCAATGCCGTACATTGTGAGGCAAATGCTGAGGATCACTACAAGCCCACCGGCTGCGAGAGAGCCCGCTGCTCCAGCGTACTCGGTGTTCCTTAGAGGCCCGGCCTTCACGAATGGGCCAACTAGGAGGTAGCCGTGGGCCAAGCCCACCTCAATTCCTCTTAGTAGTGGGCTCACTGCGGTTCTGTATGCGGGAAGGTTGGACAAGTACCATGCGATCAATGGGCTTGATGTAACTGGGGTTTCGAGGCTTCCGATGAATGGGTCACCGTTGATTGGCTGAATCACTTGATAGGTTGGCTGCCAGTGCAAGTGCAATAACCCAAACCAAAAACAATAAATTTATTAATGGCTTTTGGGCCATGAAAATTAATAGGTTGGATAAATTTGCTTGAATAATGAGTGAATTAAAATAAACGCAATTCATGTATGATCCGTTAAAATTAATCAAAAGAAAAGTGCCAACAAAACATGATTCATTCATGATCTATTTCATAAAATAAAAAATCAATTTATCTACTGAAAACTTTTTTATGTATGAATATTTTTCAATTTTTTTTAATGATTTCATGTTGGGGTTTATTTTAGGATAAAACTTAACTTTAAATACTTTTAATATTGTTTTCTAATTAGAATTATTTCATCTCAAGCATAATAATTGTTTTTGTTTTATTAAAGATCAATATAGACTATTAAGATAAAAATTTAAATTTCTGATTGAATATTAAAACCACTTAAGAACCTAATGCATCCCAATAATATTCTACATCAATTGAAGCATTATTCCATTACACTCGCAGTTGCATCAAGTCCCAATATATTAATATCACCATCTATAACCAATTCATTGGTTTCTTATTGAATATAATCATCTTGGGATTCATTTAATGAGATGAAACAAGTCTGGTGGCCTTCAATTAATTGGAATTTAAATTTGGATGTTCATAATCCACATATTGATCTTTAATGTAACATTTTATAACATAGATTAGCAAAGTGAACTTGAAAAAATAACATAAAAGTCCTAAGGAACAAAATGTAAGTTTTGTTTTTTTTGTATATAATACTACACTATACTATGTGATGTGTTTCTATCCTACCATTACAGAGATGTAGTGTGTTAACCAATTACTCGGGTGTATGTAAGTCAGATACCTGATAACACATCCATAATCAAAATTATACATTGCCACAATCTATATTAACATATTAACATTCCTCGTATATATTTTCATAGAAAAAATAAAAGGGTCATCCATAGTTGCACATAGATAGGACAATGGTTAGAATTAGAAAAGGTGAAAGAGAGTGAGAAGTGTACCTTTTCAGATTGGATGGCCTTGACAGTGAAGGTAAATTGCCTTCTAGAGGGCAAGATTTGGAGAGGTGAAGAGGCAGAGAGACCCTTGGGTGAGACAAGAGTCCTAGTGAAGGTGGACTTGAGTTGGCTTGCCATTGGAGAAGCAGCTGCCATGGCCTTGTGTTGTTAGTTAATACTACTACACACAGTGAGGGACCTGAGTGGCTAAGTACTTCCATGGCTAAATGCAAGATCAAGGTTGTGGCTGTGGATGCCCCTCTCATCCCATTGGCAGATATGCATATCAAAACCTTATCCCTTATCCAAAACTCAACCTTCCTAAATTTGTTTGATATTTTTGTGAATTCATGGGCTCTTTTGGGTCGGTAAGCCCATGCATCAAGGCCCACCACCCAAACCTAATCACCACTTCACATGCCAACTCAAACTCAAGTTTATGACTTCTGAATTTTATTTTTTTTTTTTTGTAAAAATAAGAAAGATTACAAAGATGGTGACAATGAAGATTAAACTTACGTCCTCATGTTTCTAACTACTCCAAGCCCTCCCATCCAACCATTAGGCTAACCCTAGTGGTTCTTCTGAACTTTTTTTAATAACCATTAAGTGTAACATTAAGTGTAAAATATGAAAACTGATTTTACTTATGAAAATATTAATAAAAAATAATTAAAACAAAATCAATGGTACAATATTAAGCTGCGGTGTCAATTGCGGTAGATCCGTATAGTTATAAGTTAGTTGGATTAACTTATAAATTGATTTAACCAATAAGTTTGTTGGCCATATGAAATTAATCTAGTCGTTTCTAATTTATTTTCATAACCCATTTTAACTAATTGATATCTTCAGATACAGTTCTCAAAATATATTTATAGTAAAAAAATAAAATAAAAAATGTTCAAAATTCGAAATTAATTTATACATAAATTAATTTATAAAAATTCTCAAATATTAACTTCTCTAAAAAAAAATTAGTTTATGTATAAAGTTTTTTAATTTGTAGAAAAGTTAATTTCATTTAATCTTATAACTTTTTTCTCTTATAAATAATTTTAAATAAATTTATCTAAATAAATCCAACAACTTATAAGCTAGTAGTTTTTTTTTATTTTATATCTGCTAACTTTTAGTACTTTTTTTTTATATATTAATCAATTAACTTATTCACTAATGTCACTAAATATTTTAACTCAATCAACTAATTTATAAATTTTCAGTTTCTAAAATAAACTAATTTTATCACAAACTAAGTATTATTTCTTTTAGTGTAGGAAAACAAACAGGAGAAAAAAAACCGAAAATTACAATCTGGGATAGAATAACAACGAGACTTTTTTTTTTTAATATACTGTTTTTTTTTAGAAGATGAAGAAGCTTGAGGAACCTAGCTCAAAGGTTGAAGTACCTTTGAGAGAAAACCTAGGGAGAAGGTTCTCCACGGTTTTGTGACTTTGAGAAGAGAGAAACTCTAAGAGAATTTTCATATTTCATTCATCAAAAGTGAGGTACAAGGTTAGAATTACAAATATATAGGGAGAGGTAGCTTAGGGAGAAAACTAACCTTAACCATGGTTCACTAGGAACCATGGTAAGGTTACTTGACCGTCCAAGTGGGTTTAGAAACTTGTGGAGCAAGCTTTTCACTTAGCTTGTTTGGGAAGTAAGTTAAAGAGAAGCTTGTAGCACAAGCTTCTCAAGCCTTGAGAAGTGAAGAAGAAACTCGGCCAAAGAATGTGAACCAAGCTAGGCGGCCATTTAGCTTATTTTGCTCCAAACCAGTTTTTGAAAAATGTTAATTTGGTTTAGTTAGGTTCATCTAATGTTGATGAAACCTAGCTAAATCAAATCCTTGAAAATTTAGGAGTAAAACAAATTTAATATGTAAAATTTTGCCTAGGCCCAATTCTGGCCCAATTACTAATCACACCCTCTAGCTTTGCTAATTGTCACCCCGACTCCTTCTACTGAAAAATAGAAAAAGAATGTATTTCAAGGTTAGGTTAAATGGAGTCAAAGTTCCCAAGTAACCTACCCTAGAAACAATATACAATAAGAAATAAAAGGGACTAAAGTGTCTCACAAATACAAAGGCAAAAATAAGCCTATACAAGAGAACTATGTACAAACTATACACAAGTAGAACTAGGCCTTCTCCTCATGATAAAGTAGTCGAAGTGAAGAGTACCTTGGGCTTAGAAAGCCCACTGGTCTTCAAGATGTCCAACTCTTCTTGTATGTTCCTGTCATTCATGCATGCTATTTAGTCCTAGCATGTTCCTTATATTTTTGAGTTTCCATGTGTAAAATGCTTCCTTGCACATGCATGTAAATTGCTGCCCAATTTTTCCTTGCATTCCACTTGTTATGGTCTATATTTGATGCTTAAAAACCCTAAAAGAATCTAAGAGGTGTGCTGGAAAATTTGTGCAAAACAACTTGTACTAGATAGTACAAATCTAATTCCACTCAAAAGATACCCTAAACACCTCTAAGAAACCGCCACTTGTCCTCCTCTCCTTCTCCTAAATTTGACCTAATTTATTCCCACACACAAGTGCAAAACCTAAACAACAAATGGTCTGAACATTAAAGAAAAGAAATTGGACCCAAAGTATAAAAAAAATTGACATGAAAATAGAGAAAAAAAAGAGAACAAAAAAAGAATTGACCAAAAAGGACTTGTTGCTAGACTTGTGGACTTGGACCAATACCTATGATTTTTGGAGTTGGACTTAAGAACATTAAACCTATTTTGAGACTTTAAATGTGGCTGGACCGAATCATATAAAAGACTTAAGCAAGTGGACTAAACACTAATCCATTCTAGTGTCATTCTAGGATTACTCTTTTGTGTGCTTCCTTTTTAATTGTATCTTAATTTTAGTTTTTATTTTCTTTGGCCTCTTTTCTTTTGTCTATTTGTTTGACTGGGATGAATTATGTTACGAGTTGTTAGGCTTTGTACCTCCAAAAAGGGAAGCTCTAGTTGACTCAACCATAAAACTCAAATGGTTAAGAGACGGCTAACCTTAACCATGGTTCACTAGGAACCATGGTAAGGTTACTTGACCGTCCAAGTGGGTTTAGAAACTTGTGGAGCAAGCTTTTCACTTAGCTTGTTTGGGAAGTAAGTTAAGGAGAAGCTTGTAGCACAAGCTTCTCAAGCCTTGAGAAGTGAAGAAGAAACTCGGCCAAAGAATGTGAACCAAGCTAGGCGGCCATTTAGCTTATTTTGCTCCAAACCAGTTTTTGAAAAATGTTAATTTGGTTTAGTTAGGTTCATCTAATGTTGATGAAACCTAGCTAAATCAAATCCTTGAAAATTTAGGAGTAAAACAAATTTAATATGTAAAATTTTGCCTAGGCCCAATTCTGGCCCAATTACTAATCACACCCTCTAGCTTTGCTAATTGTCACCCCGACTCCTTCTACTGAAAAATAGAAAAAGAATGTATTTCAAGGTTAGGTTAAATGGAGTCAAAGTTCCCAAGTAACCTACCCTAGAAACAATATACAATAAGAAATAAAAGGGACTAAAGTGTCTCACAAATACAAAGGCAAAAATAAGCCTATACAAGAGAACTATGTACAAACTATACACAAGTAGAACTAGGCCTTCTCCTCATGATAAAGTAGTCGAAGTGAAGAGTACCTTGGGCTTAGAAAGCCCACTGGTCTTCAAGATGTCCAACTCTTCTTGTATGTTCCTATGAAGGGTCATATCTAAAGCCCTTATTGTTAACTCTGGTAATCGAAGAGCATAAGGTGAACAAGGTACTAGTGGATGGTGGTGCTGTTATAAGCATACTCCCAAAAACCATGCTGAAAAGATTTGGGAAGACCTTGGCTGACTTGAAGCCCCATAACATTCTCATATAAGATTATGCAGGGAAATCGTCACAACTTGAAGGGATAATTTTACTTGATGTCCAGATAGGTATCGTGAAAAAGACAACCATGTTTATTGTAACCCCTTCTAAAGCCAATTTCAATGTGTTGGTGGGATGATAATGGATCCATGGAGTTGGGGCAATACGTTCAACCGTACACCAAAAAATTTACTTTTAGAATGATGATGAAGGTTTAGAAGTACTCGAAGCTGACTAGAAAGAGTACGAAATTGGCATGTACTTCGCAGATTAACAAATAATTGCATTTGCAAAAACCAAGTGATGAAACTACTTGAAGGAGATTAATGTTCTTCAAGTAAATCCATGCTAAGTCCCTTCTTCTCTTAAGGTTGTCACGTCCAAAAGATGAAGAACACCTTTGAAGGAAGCTTCAATGGTGAAGAAGCTCTAAGGAGGTTCGGCCACTCCAAGAAGATGAAGAAGCTTGAGGAACCTAGCTCAAAGGTTGAAGTACCTTTGAGAGAAAACCTAGGGAGAAGGATCTCCACGGTTTTGTGACTTTGAGAAGAGAGAAACTCTAAGAGAATTTTCAGATTTTATTCATCAAAAGTGAGGTACAAGGTTAGAATTGCAAATATATAGGGAGAGGTAGCTTAGGGAGCAAGCTAACCTTAACCATGGTTCACTAGGAACCATGGTAAGGTTACTTGACCGTCCAAGTGGGTTTAGAAACTTGTGGAGCAAGCTTTTCACTTAGCTTGTTTGGGAAGTAAGTTAAAGAGAAGCTTGTAGCACAAGCTTCTCAAGCCTTGAGAAGTGAAGAAGAAACTCGGCCAAAGAATGTGAACCAAGCTAGGCGGCCATTTAGCTTATTTTGCTCCAAACCAGTTTTTGATTTTTTAAAATCTATATATTTTAAACTGAAAAACTAAAAAAAAATTATAAATCTGAAAAAAAAACTTAAAAAAAAATAAAAACTAGAAAACGAAAAAAAAGAAAAAAAAAGGGGGGGGCCTTTGAGAAATCGGTTAGTAACCGATTTCTCAAAGGTGGAAAAATCCCTTTGAGAAATCGGTTATTTTGTAACCGATTTCTCACCTACAAAACTAGATGGTATATTTAGATAAATATATTTCACTTTAGGTTATTTAAATAAATAAATAAAAACAGTATATTAAAAAAAAAAAAGTCCGAACATTACAGAGAGGAAATTAAAATAAAAAATATTGTTATCTTTATCCAAACTTTAAAAAGATATATATATTAATAAAATACAAGTGTGGTATTTGTTTCGTGGTGAAATTACGATATTGATGGATTAGGTTATTGAGTGGCAGCTGAGTCAAGGGATTTGAAAAAGGAGGAACGAGTCAAAAGCGTTGTGATTGGTCATATAATTCTTTATTTATTTATTTTTTAGTTATTGACTCATCTAATTCTAATACTTGTTCCACACTCCACAGTCCCCACACAGGACCTTAGTTCCCAATGCAAGATTTTTTATTTTTTAAATTTTTAGATTATATATCTTCACAATTTTTAAATTTTTGTTTTTAGTTTTTTTAATAATTTTAACTAATTTTCAATTTTTAGTCTTTAGACTTTTTCTTTCACTAAAAATAAAATTTTCAAAGATTAAAATCAAATAAAATTTGTTTACAAATTAATAATAAAAATTAAAGAACTAAAAATATATTTAATTCTTATTTTTATTTAAACATATTTTTTTGACAAATTATTTAAACATACTTATTTATCATAATTCTTTTTTTTTTTTCAACACCTATAAGATATGTCCATGCGTGGTTGCTTTTTTAAGATTATTATTATGGCTGCTTTCTTTCTTGGGAAGGAGAGGACAAAGTTAATGAATGACAACAACGGTTTGAATGCTACATTATCTTGACCGTCCAAATTAATTCTTTTGACTATGAATCAACCTTTACACACACCCAATTGATTAAAGTGGATCCACATAAAAATATTCTTCTTCAATAACTTATTTCAAATTTCAATTTTAAATATACACTTCTGTTAAATTTTTAAAAAGAGAGTCAAAGAAGAAAAAAAAACATTATTCAAATAATTACTGGGTAGAGAGAAGGTCGAAGGTTCCGAGTTTGGACGAAAAAGATTGAAGGTCACCACTTGAGAAGACAAGTCCAATTTCCTTTTAATAAAATATTGAAAGGGGCTGATGAACACATTGCATTTTACTTATTTTTCTTATTTTTTATTATATAATATTAGTTGAAAACTATAACTATAGTTCATCTACTTTTATGTCATATCAAATAAATTTCGGATAAGTTTTTTGAATTTTAATATTTTTATTGTTTCTGTCATATTTCATAAATCACCCCTTAAAGCTAGAATTATTCGTACCATTTACGTGTTGACCCTTTTGAAATTTGAGTCCCCATCGTGGAAGTGCATTTTACGGTTTAAAAAAAAGAAGAAAAAAAAAGATGTTGAATGGATTTGATGATGTGGTGAAAGAAACAGCAACCTTAGATTCAATGCATGCGATGCAAAGTTGTTTATATATGAGTTACCATCAAACAATACATCCAAGATTTAATATATACTTTCCACCATAAGTAGGTTATATTTTAGTTAACTTTCATACCACGAATATTTTCTATCATGTTCCATGTAAATTTTACCATACAAATAATCAATGTCATTTACCTTTTTATTCTTTATTATAAAAATAAGTTTAATAATAATGCACTGATTTAAAATAATTTTATACTATAAATCAATTACATACTACGATTAGTACAATTTTATATTGATTTTTTTATTATAAAATTTAATAATTAATTATGAATGATAGTTTGCAATTATAAAACAGTGTAAAACAGCTGATTTACGTTGTTAGTGACTCACATACCTTTTTAAAAAATATTCTAATCCACACAAAATAATACAGAAATTTGTTTTTCATACACTATCAATATGAGATTTTATATTCTTTACATGTTCAAGAACTGTTTATGTATTAATTTTATGTAGTGTTTTGAAGATTTTCCACTGTTAGATATCAATTCCATCAAGCCTAAGAATCATAATGAATTGTTACAAATGCAATAAATTAATAAGTTTTAAAATAAAAATTGTTACCATGTAATTGTGAATTACTATGTAATGCTTAATGTATGAATTTACACAATTAATTAATCGAAAATCTTAATTAACAAAACTTTTAATGCATTTATTATAAAATTAATAAGCATACTATTTTTTTTATCCTTTAATAAACTTACCATATAAATTTGTAACTAAACAATGGTGTATAAAATATTTACCGAATTAGTATATATATAATTTATTTTTGTTTCAAAATTAACAAAATTTATTATATTTCACTAACAGAAAAAGGTACTATGTGTGTTTGTTATTAAAAAATAGTTATTTAAAAGTGTATTTATCTCGTTTAAAAAATTAAAATAAAAAAGAATAGAGTGAGATATTTATTTAAAAGAGGTGAGTAATTTATAATTTATGAAGAAATGGTTTAAAAGTAAAATTAAAACCAAAATATATACGTGAAAAAAGTCTGTCAACTATATTATAATTATAGACAATGAACAATAATTGTCGACATTATAAATAATAAAAAAATGTGATAGTTGCGAAAGTCAAAAAGTTCTTAATATTACAACCACAATTATGGACTGTAATTTTAAATCCATAATAATGTTAATGTAAAAATTATATCATGAATCAATTAAAAATCACAATTCACATAACTTTTAATATAATTATAATAAAAATTAATAAAATACTATAATAAAGTATGATTAAAACAATAGTGTACAAAATATTTACGCAATTAACGTAAAAATTATTTTCTCTGTAAAAATTAACAAAGCTTATTATATACTATAATGCTTTGTGAATATATTAGAATGTATGTATGTATTAATTAATTATATTCATTGAAATATAATAATTACGTACGAAAAATGAAAGGAAATAATAAAAGGGATAAAAAAATGGAAGTGACTTATGAGTAGTTCTAGAAATTGAAAAAATAAAATAAAAAAAATGGAGCGACGATTGTTGCGGTTTCCTCGCAACAGCAAAATCTAGTTGTACGCCGTTTTGGAATCAGAGGATCCCCTCGAAACGGCGTCGTATCGTAGGTTTGTATTGATATTCGGAGCCTCCTTAAAAGGGGGAAACTCATGAGATTCAAGAGATTCTCAAACGAAACCTCTCTTTTCCTTTCATTTTTCTTTTTCCTCAACGCACCATTCATTATTCATTACTCCATTATTATTTCATTCCATCGTTGAAGTTGAAAGCCATTGACGAGTGCAATGGGTATCATAGTTGAGGTTGAAAACGATCACCAAAACGACGCCGTTTTGCTTCCCCCTTCTAACTTCTCCATGGTTGAAGACGGCATTTTTCGATCCAGCTTCCCCAAACCTTCCAATTTCCCCTTTCTCCAAACCCTAAACCTTCGCTCCATCATGTTATTTTTCCTCTTCCTATATAATTTTTTTTTTTTTTTTTTTTTTGCGTTTTTTAATGTTTAGCGTGAAACTAATGTGTACGAGGTTGTTAATTGGTGCAGATACTTGTGCCCCGAGCCTTATCCGGAAGAAAATCTAGAGTTCCTTCGCTCGCACAACATTCGTCTCTTTCAATTTGGAATTGAGGGGAAAACGGTAATTTTCGTGTTCTTAAAAATTGGAACTTGAAACGTGGTTTGTCGCATGGTATCTGATGCACGTTGTTTTGAAGTGTTTGTGGATGTTGTGGGGGGAATTCGAATCTCGTGATTGTGGTGACTGATTTTGTTTAAATGCCAATCAGGTCGAGGATTAATGAGTTTGGTTCTGCCGTGTGTGGACTGTCGTAGTTTCTTTTTTTTTTTTTTTTTTTTGTGGCCAATTATCATGGCATAGTCTTAATCTGGGTTTTCTCTTAAATTACTAGGGTTAAGGAAGACATGTGAGTCAAACAAGGATACGTGTTGGTGGTTGGTCGTGAAATTTGCATGAAGGAATCAGTGTTGGTCTCTTTGTTAACCTTTCCTGATGCGAGTTTTTGTATCGTGTGCAGGATATTTCTATGCCTATTCTGAAGGATTCTATCATGGATGCTCTGAAAGTTTTGATTGGTACTGAGTTATAACAATGATGTTTTTCTTTTCTTTTTCTGTGTGTGTGTGTTTGTTTATTGGGTACTTAAATTCTTCCATTTATTTTGGTTTCAGATGTTAGAAACCACCCTGTTCTTATCCACTGCAAGCGAGGAAAGGTATAGAATGATGCTCAAAAAGTACAAATTTAGGGTGTTTTTGATTTTCATTTTCGAAATCTGTTTTCAATTTTAAAAAATAAAAATACAAAGAAAGCATACACTCACCAAAATCATGTCTCACTATATGCAACACCAGTCCACATCTTTAACATAAATCAAAAGAAGAGTATGAGAAAACATCTCCCAGTTTCTTTTTTGTAGTTTTTAAAACACTTGTTTTAACGACAATTTTCATTACTCAATAGATTTTGGATGAGAATTTGATTCATGAGTGGCGTAGAATCATTTTAGGAAACAGATTTTTCAAATCAAGTGACCCTTATTTATTTCTTCATTGGATGTTTATGTAATATTCTGACTGATCTCTTCTTCTCATATGCAGCATAGAACAGGATGCCTTGTTGGTTGCTTGAGGAAGCTACAGAACTGGTGTTTGTCCTCTGTATTCGAGGAGTACCAACGATTTGCAGGTGTTAAATCTAGGGCAATGGATTTAACATTCATAGAAATGTTTGACATCATAAGCCTGAGGCAGTGCCTTTACAGCATCATCTACCAGTACCATGGATATGGTTCAAAGAAGCGTCGGTTGATGTATAAAGATGAGAATTTACAGAAGCCCCGACTCACATCATTTTAGCTGTGGCGGGATTTAATTCCTTTTCTCCATTATTTGATAGAATTCATATCATATAGTTGCCCAGATTCGATGATCGTTATTTCCAAAGATCCTCAAGACTACTGCCAGAGAAGAACATATGATCTTCTTTTTTTTTTTGTCTTTTCCACCTTCCCTTTTACCTTTATAGTTTTCATTGTCTTACACCTACAGAAATCTTTTGGTGCAAACAATTCTTTTAAATGGGTATGGCCTTTTCAAAAAAAAAAAAAGTGAGCATATCAATTGTTATTTTGTGTTATGCATGCTTCTGAAGCCATGTATCTATGAGCAAATAATGGCTTATCTTGATATATAAGAAATTTTTGGCACGGTTTTTACAAGATTTGGATGCATATGATTTCTTTTTTTCATGATGCATTTGGTTACTGTTTATTGTCGACTAGTGAAAAAGCCAACAAATATTTAAGAGTATGGGACCTAGTATGTGTTGCTACGACTTATCCATGAGAAATTCGCGAAGAAAGGGTATCAATAATAAGCTTCGTGGGATGGGCAATGAAGTGGGAAGCAATTCAACTTCTATTGGGATTTGGGATTTGATATATGGGATACACAGTGTTATTCCATGGTTTTTATAAGACTCAAATATAAAATAAAAATATGTGATATCTTTTTTTATATAAAAAGCTATCTAATTTTTTTTTATATATATTTTTTACAAGAAAATACTATATAAATTATATTTTAGTCTCTCTATTTCTATCAATTTTTAATTTTGGTATTTCTATTTTAAAATAGAAATATTTGGCCCTTTTATTTTTAGAAATACAAAATTTTAGTCTTGTTGGTGGGTCAATTTTTACTTGATTTAGTGACTTGTTATCAAGTGATGTAATATTTAATATTTTTTGTATATATTTTAATGAGTGATTATTATTAAAATTTAATTAATAGATGTCAATTTAATAATATAATTAAAATTCAATATTTTTAAAATTAGAGAGATTAAATATTTCTATTTTAAAATAAAGGGACTAAATGTGCAATTTGACCTTTTATATTTCATTATAAAACTAGTATTTTAGTCACATACATGCTTATTATATATAATTAAAATTTTTAATAAATTATATATATATAATTAATATACATAAATATTTTAAACATATAAATTATATTTTAAATTTATGATAAAAAAATATATATGTATTTTTATTTATTAATGACTTGTTTTAAAATATTAATATGTAATTCATAAATAATTATGATAAATAAAAACAAAGCTATTTAAGAAGTCAAAATAAATCTCTACTAACTCTCTTGTTGAATGTCCATATTTAATATATCGGAATTAATATTTAAACAAAGATCTTATATGTATTACGTCTGTGTATCATAATACTGTCACATATAAATTCTTGTATAAATTTAATAATATTAAAATATTATTCTTAAACACTAGCTATATTTTTTTCCCTTAAATCAATACATTAGCAAGGAGTTGATTTTTTTTTCATGAATATGACCTATAAGAAATAATTTATGCTCATAGAATATAATTTTCATTGAATAAATATTATTTTTAACATAAACAAAAATTGAATTTGAGAGTACTAAATCAACCCTTACATTTTAAGAATAAGAAGTTGAATAAAAAGATATTTATTAAAAGAAAAAAAAATCATACGTACGGATTCGTTATTACATGAGATTCAAGATAGTATAATTATACAATGAATCCTAATAATTCCTACAATATTTAAGGATAGCATCTAATTAATAATGCCGGTTACTAAGTGTATTTTAGAAGTTAAAAAAAAAAGTGAACGCATTAAAATAAGAGTTAATCATTCCTATATTGTCAATGTAAATTTTTTTACACTGACAACCAATCATATCTTTTAATAGTGATATGTTAGTTGTTTATTATTTCATTAAATAAGCAACTAACATGTCACTATTAAAAAATATAATTGATTATTAGTGTAAGTGTATAAGTGATTAACTCTTAAAATAATTTCCCTATACTTTGACTTATGAAGGCTTTTAAAAAACAAAAAAAAGATTCTTAAATTTTTCGAGTTGTGCACTTCTATTTCAACTAGTAAAGAATGAACGGAAAAATACAGGCCTTACAATCTGATTATGGCATGACATGTAGCATTTTTGTTCGTCTATAACTCAAAAAAGGCTTAAGAATCATTTTACACATTTTGAAAGTGAAAGAAGATCAGAAGCAAAACGTGCACAGACTCAAATACAAAAAGGATATTTTTTTTAGAATTTTCCTTAAAAAAAACAATTTGATAGGACAACTAAAAAAATTGTTTATTTTCTTTTCATTTATCATTGAAAGGCATAAATATGAGTATGAAAAAATATGTTATAACACTTTAATCAATAACTAATTGTAAAATATCACAAACAAAATGACTTTGTCTTTCTAAAACTAATTTTAGGTTTTATTTGGAATTGTTAATTATCATATCAAGGATTTGTGTTTGGCTTACTCTTCCAAATCCTTTTGACTTTACAATTTTGTTTCAACATATTTTTATTTTATATTCAATATTTTCTTAATTTCTTATTAACTTTATTTATTTATTTTTCAAAAAATTTCGATTACGTTTCATGAGTGAAAATGACAAAACAAAAAATTTCCCCGTTTGTTCTATTTAGTTCCACTATTTTTAAAGAAATCAAAATGTGCCCCTTTTTTTTTTAGTTAATTACTTATACACTGTCAGTATAAAGTTTTTTTACAGTGTAAAATTTTTTTACACTGACAACCAATCATATATTCTAATAGTGTGCTTATTTAATGAAATAAAAATAAAATAAAATAATTTAAAAGACATGATTGGTTGCCATTGTAAAAAACTTTACACTGGCAGTGTATGAATGATTAACTCACTTTTATTTTTGTTACATTCTATATAATTTTTCAAATGCACCAAAATATAAAATAAAACTTATATATTTTATTCTGAGTTAATCACCCATACACTGGTAACCAATCATATATTTTAATAGTGTTATGTCATTTACTTATTTAATCAAATAAAAAAAATAAAATAATTTAAAAGATATGATTGGTTGCCAGTAAAAAAATTTTACACTGATATTATATAGATGATTAACTTTTATTCTATTTCGTTTTAACACGTTTACCCAGCAGTCAAATTTTCTTTATGATATTATTTATATAAAATAGAAAGTAAATAGGATTTGCAACGTTAATAAACCCAACAATAAGAAAAATCAAGTGTAACCTGAATTCTTTTTTAAACGAGACCAAAAGTTTGGCAACGCAAACCCAAATTTTTAACAAAAACAAAAAAGGTTGATGATATATACACCTCATTTTTTTCTATAAGTACATCTCTGTTTTTTTTTAAATAGTTAATTTTTTTTAAATATATTAATTTTTTTATTTTACACTCACAACATTTAATTTAGTACCTTTTTTTTACCTATCTTTCCTCATTTTTTCAATTTTCAGATGTACTCCCTTACCTTTCTTTCACCTCACCTATTTTGATAGATAATTTTAATTCTTTTGGTTTTACATTACTTTCTCCCGTCCTCTTTTAGTTTTCTTACTCTTATCTTCTCTCTTCCCGATTTCAGTTTTCACACACATATAAAACGTATAACTAGTTTTTAATAATATTATAAGTGTGTGTAACTTTCTCGATAATAGGTAAGAAATTAGAGAAAAACAAAATAGTGCATGTTAAAACTAAAAAAGAAAAAAAATGTGTGAAAAAGAAAAAGAAAAAGAAAGTAGCAAATTAAAAGTTGAAGATATAATATTAGAAAAATAAAAAGATTACAAATATTTTATAATTTAAAAAATAAAATAAAGGAAGTGTACTTATGAAAAGAAGGAAGTGTATATATCACGAGCCAACAAAAAAATGTAGAAGCCCAACTGCTGATCATAAAAGACGGGCCGGGTTGGAATGAGCCCATCGGCCCAAGAAGGAAGAGACCTCTACTGTTCTTTGGGCTTTCGCGTGTCTTTCTCCATGCTCAACCTTCACTAAGCTCTATTCTCACAAATTTTCTTCATCTACACTTCTACTCCTTTCTTCCTCTCATTTATTTTTGTTACAGAATTGGCTCTCTCACTATCCCCTCTTCTTTCTTTCTATAATCTTAAATATATGATTTGTGTAAAAATAATAATATTGTATTCTGTTATTATAATTAGACGAATATCAGACACACTTTTTTTTATAATAGTCTCATTATTATAAATTAAAATTTATTAAAAAATCACTATTCTTTTAGTATCACTATTGAATTAAAAAATAACTCATTAAATGGCATATTTAGCATGTTTAATTTGTAAAATTCTAACACACACATATAATATGAAATTCTAATATATTGATTTTTTATCCAGGTTTACCATCAAGGAAGATGTATGATCATGAACCAAAATTGTATAAAAATGTGAGTAATGTAAAGGGATCTCAACCAATAATCCTAAATTTGAAATTTAGCCTAGAACACAACAAGTTACTGTGGAGTTTTACAGTGAAGATGATACTGGAATAACTATTAACTATATTAAATCATGCTAGTTAGTGCATCATAAGTTGGCTTACTTAGACAGTTTATAGTTTCTTAATGTGCATATAATTTTGATTATTATGATATATATGCAAATTTTGGCTTCTTGTCTAGCGACATTAGGCATGTGTCATTTGTCATCATAACCTCACGTTGGGTGGCATTAACTATGTCTCTTGGCCACTCTCTATGTTAATTAAAATGAGATGTTTTGTATGTTTCTTAGTTATTGTGCATATTGCTTTTAATATGATGTTTTGTGTAACCTCCACAAAACTAACCAAGTATTTTTCTATCATCATCCAACTTTAACTATTGTTAACAAACTTCAATTGGATTAATTAATTATAATAAAATTTTCAATTTGACATACATTATGTATATATTTTAATGCAAGGGGACCTAACTCGATAATCCTGAGTCTAATTTCAAGAGAGTGCACAACCCCCAACTTTAAGTCCAACAAGATTATAAAAAAAAAGGCTCACAATCAATCTAATATCTCAACCCAATAACTTAGAGGACACATATCCTAATAACCATGAGCTAAACAAGTTGATGAAAAGGATTACAACCAAGAGAATACTGTAATGACAATATTAGACTCAATGTATCAATTGACATATCATAAGAAGGCTCAATTTGATGTTTGCAATTCTCAAGGTGCATTTAATGTTGATTACTAGGAAATGCATCAAACGATGTTGTCATTCACATAACTTGTGATATGTAACATTAATTGAATCTCTCAACAATTATGCATATCATTTCAATTATGAAATTTTATTGTCTTTTGCGCCCATCACAAGTTGCAAGTTATCGTACAAATAATCCTTTTTTTTGTCTAAGAGAGTTACACAATGTCTTTCTACTATTTAGCCGCTCATTCCAATGAAGAATAATGAATTTTGTCAATTATCAATAAAGGATTATTTATAACTATTGAAGCTATTCCCTTTACTCTCACCAATGAATTTATGGTTTTAACAAATACCATGTAAAAGATCAAAAGTTTATATTCAACTCAAGGAATTGTAAGCAAATTGTCAAAGAACCATAGAAAAAAAGTAAGTTTTACTAGATGAATTTTAGGGTGAACCACTTTTATGTGTGGATCATGGTGATCCACTTTTCATCATCCTTATAACTCATATGTATGATTTTATACCTTCTACATCAATTTGTTTTCGCTTTCTCCTTTGTTGTCCGTTCCCTCTCTCCTCACCCTCTTTTGTTCTCCGTCCCATCACTCTTACTACATTAGAACCCACTAAATAAAGAAGTTTTAAAAACTTCATACAATAAGTTGTCCATCAAAAGCATATTATCTTTGTAACAAGCAATCAATGTACTGATTGGTGAAAGACAATGATTGAACCCACTAAAACACAAATCTTTTAGTGGTGCAAACTTCGACACTAATATGCAGTGCTGCTTTCCAATGGAGCATTTTTTGCTTGGGGTGAGATAATGTTTGATTTAAGGTAGGAACTGAAACAACAAGGATGGTTTAAGAGACAAAAATAGTTGAGATTTGTACATTTTAAATTTTGGATTTGCGTAAGATGTTGAACCATCAATTTTGAAATTTTGGTAAGCGACGAACTATGTGGTGATGACTAATATTTTGGTAAGGAACCTGTAATTAGTCGTTTTACTATACTAAAGTATCAAAATATTTACACATTGTATTTATTATATGTTTATGCACTCATGAAGCCTTAATTCCCCCCACAACTAATTAACCAAATATGTCATCTATCATTATCTAACTTAATCGTTATTAGCTTTATATAACTAAATCAACTAATAATAACTAATGTACCACTTTACCATACATTATGAATATATTTAAATATAAAATTTATGATTCAGACCAATATACACAAATTTAATCGTATCCAATCTTAAAACCAACAAACCGTAGTTATGTTTATTTCACTACTAAAATTGTTTAAACATCATATCATTTATTATTTATTATATATAAAAGAAGTTTGTTTTGGGACAAGTGTCAACACTTTCATACTCTTTTTGTCACACAAAAAATTTAATTTTTTTTTTTATAACAAATCTTATTCTGTTCTTTCATTTTTTAAATACTATTTTTATGTCAATCAATGTCTCTTATTCCCTCTCTCATCACATCAATCAACATTTTATATAATTGTATGAGATTTATATATATATATATATATATATATATATATATAATTTTTTTGCCATATAAAATATTTTATTATTTTTATAACTAAAAACACATCTTACTATATTGTTTTTAATTATTAAATGGGATAGGGAATGATGGACAAAATACTTAGTATTTTGATACTTTCACTTCTAATAAATTTTTATTAACCCATCAAACATATTCAAAATATTGTTTATCAAATTATAAATATGATAATTTTTATTTATCATTTTAAATTTTAAAATAAAAACATTTAAATTTAAGATAAGTTAAGTTTTTTTTTTATAAATATTATTCATAAAAACGAGAGTCTTACAAACGCACTTGCATAATTCTAGTCTTAAACTAAATGCACCCATGTAAAAATAATTGCAAAATAAAGAATCCTTACTGTGATAGGCGATAAGATCGTTCCGAATCTAATACCCTGCGTTAAGCACAAGTTGATACCAGCACGTGGCAAAACAGAATTGGTGCAAACTAAAACCCTGAATATCGATCAATAGGAAAAAGCCACGTGTCCAGGTTCAGACATTATGAAAAACAGTGGAAATAATGGGTTCCAGATAAGGCTCACTCGCTCCATGCCTATTAATTAGCAAACTGCATCACCCAAACGCGCAAGACAAACCCTCTCTGCTGCCAAAACTAAAATTAGGGTTTCCCAACCCTAGGGTTTACTCCCCCAAATCAAAACCCAAACAACCTCGACTCGAAGCCAAAGGGAACAATCATTGATTGGTGAAAAGAAGAGAGGACCGCGATGACGGGGAAAGCCAAGCCCAAGAAGCACACGGCCAAGGAGATCGCGGCGAAGGTGGACGCCGCCACCACCAACCGCGGCGGCGGCAAGGCTGGCCTGGCGGACCGCTCCGGCGTGGAGAAAGGGGGCCACGCGAAGTACGAGTGCCCCCACTGCAAGGTAACTGCACCCGATGTTAAGTCGATGCAGATTCACCACGACGCGCGCCACCCCAAGATCCCCTTCGAGGAGGACAAGATCGTCAACCTTCACGCCTCTCACGTGCCAGAGTCCTCCAAGCCGCGCCCCGGCGTTCGCGGAAGCCTCAAGAAGTGATTCCAATCAGATCCTATCATCATGGTCCCTTCATTCATAGTTCTCTGTTTTTTCTTTTACTTTTTTTTTTTCTTTGTCCAAGTTGATGTTTTTTTAGGGTGGTGTTGAGTAATCGGGATGTGGGTATGTTCTTGATTTCGGGGAAGAAGGGTTATGATATGATGCATCTTAGGTGTGAATCTGAAGATGCTGTGTATGGAGGGACGGAGAAGGGCTATTTTGGTCTGATGAGATTGATTTTGTAGTTGATTGAGCCCTTCTTTTTAAGGATGGGATGTATATTGTTCCCTATAATGTTGTTGACCTACTACTACTTACAACCTTGTTGTGTGAACTCATAAGATAAACTCTGTTGGACTTTTTTTTTTTTTTTTGAAAACTAATTGGTGCATATAGGGTTAGTTTGAGTAATGGCACATACAACAGAAAATTGTTCATTACACCAGTTTTGTGCATTTTCCTCTCCGTCACTTTATAATCACTTCGTTTAATGCGGAGGAGGATATTTGTTAACTGTGGATTGAGATACACGCAAAATTGACATAGTATTACCATGTAAGTGTTATCTTAGTGTGATGTGAGTTTTTTCTTTGTTGGGTTTGGTGAAGGCTGTTATGACTATGGTGCACAGGGATAGGTAATTTTGGTTCATTTAAGTAAGATAAGAATCCTATAATAGTCCCCCTTTTTAAGTTTTATTTTCCCTAGTTTTAGTCTGTATACAACCTATTTTTAGCGATTTCTTTGGGCGGTTTTATACTACTAAAATGTTTTCTCTAATGTTATTGCCGGGTATTGAAACTATCTTTTATGCATACATTGATATTAAAACTTACATTTTTCTCTTAAGGTTGAGCTATTCATTTGGTTTCTATTGTATTTCCCCTTGTTAAGTTTTAGTCCCTGTGTGAATAAATTATAAGTTTTAGTCCTTGTACAGTTTTTTCTACAGCAGTTTATCACTGTCAATGGCATGGGTTAAAACTTTTATGTGTGCAAATATTGAAAACGTCCATTTTCATTTAGGAATTGAAGCTTAAATGGGGATAACTATAAGGACTAAGTGAATAATTTAACGATGAGGTAATAATCCTTCAATGAACACATTTTGCTTGAATATAAAAATACTAGATTTGTTAAAAATACCGTTTATCAGCTGGAAACTGCTAATTTGAGCTCTAATATAATGTGATTTTTTATTCTGGACAGATTACTTGTGCAAAGCAACCTGTAGCTCTCCATCTTGATATGTTTCACTTATATACTGGCCACACTCATTTCATGTCAATATAGGGAAAGGATAGTTACCTGTTAAATTAGTATTGGTGCAGTGGAATTCCAGACACCAGTTATATGATAATATTAAAGCAAGGTGAATTACAAGTGCTTGGGAGACCACATTCCATTATAAGTCAACAGCGACTTTTCTTGACGGGAATTGGTTGAGTGAGGTCTATGATGAATAATATGATTATAAAATAATAATATGACTAACTTCAAATTATAAATTAGTTTTGGAGAACAAAAATAGTGTTAAAACAAGTTTTATTTTACTTTTAACTATATTTATAAATTTGGATTTCGTCAATAGTCTTAAATCAAACACAAATTAATATTTGGAGTAAATAAAATATACTATGGTAGTTTAATCTAACGATATGCATTAATATTTATTATTAATAATAATTTTATACTCATAATAGTTAAATTTTTTTCAAGTTTATATTTTTTAATGAAAAAGGAAAATAATATTTCTTTGTAATCAAATTATCCCATTTAACTCAACTAAATAGCTTTCATTTCTAGAAAACATACAAAAAAATTATGCCTATAACCAAATTAATAAAATTCCTAATTTATTTGAATGAACAATTTTAAGAGAATATTGTTTTCTTAAAAATATATAAAAATATGTTATGAGATATGTTATTAGATAGTAAATCTAAAAGAAGAAAAAAAAATCTTTGTATAGATTGTAAATCATTTTTAAATTAAATTAAAATCTATACATACACTAAAACATAATTCTTAACTTATAATTTTGGTTCTTTTACAATTTTATAATTTTAGTCTCTTAATTTTATAAAATTTATAATTTTATTCTTTTATTAAATATTTTATCTGATGAAATTTTAACATTGTTCATGAGTTAATATTGAATAAATAATATAATAATTAATATCTAATAAAATTTAAACTAATTAGTAGTTTTAATTTTTAACTTTTTCATATTTTCATTTTATTTTTCTACTACGAGAAAAAAAAGGAAATAGTAAAATTTAGGAAAAATATTATTAAATATTAATTTTTTTATGTCATTTACTTAATGTCATATCATAATTAAAATTATAAAAATAAGTTTATCAAACTCTTACTCTTATAAGTGGATTCTCCTTTAAAATTTATATAAATAGATATTTTAAATACATTAATTATATTTTAAATTTATGATAGAATTTATATTGTAAAAAGAATAATTTACTGATAATTTATTTAAAATATTAAAATTTAATTTATAAATAATTATAATAATAAATAATAATAAAAAATTAAGATGCCATTGGCTATGGGGCATGTCATCTTCTATTTACCAGAAAGTAAAAAGATATGATGAAAGCCAAATAAAAATAAAACATGAATAATTAAAATTCTAGTATGGTTGATACCATGAAAGAAGGAGATAAACAATCTGCAGTGCTTGAAGCATAGAACTTTTCAACAAACTTTTTCTCTTTCCTACAAATTCCATAGCTTGACCTCACATTCAGATTCAAATATTGAATGGATGGCCTCCCTCGCTCCATGCCTATTAATTACCAAATTCCCTTTCCTGCCAAAACAACAATTTAGGGTTTTCCCAACCCTAGGGTTTACTTTTTCCATTCCATCCCAAATCCCAATTAATTCCTCGCACCATCTCCAATCCCAAAAAAGTGAACGCTGATGACGGGGAAAGCGAAGCCGAAGAAGCACACAGCCAGGGAGATCGCGGCGAAGGCGGACGCCGCCACCACCAACCGCGGCGGCGGGAAGGCCGGCCTGGCGGATCGGTCCGGCGTGGAGAAAGGGGGCCACGCGAAGTACGAGTGCCCTCACTGCAAAGTAACCGCACCCGATGTTAAATCCATGCAGATTCACCACGACGCGCGTCACCCCAAAATCCCGTTCGAAGAGGACAAGGTCGTCAACCTTCACGCCACCTACGTCCCAGAGCCCTCCAAGCCCCGCCCCGGCGTTCGCGGAAGCCTCAAGAAGTGATTCCATATACCCCTTCTTTCATGCTTTTCACTTCTTTTTTTCTTTGATTCCTCAAGTTTATTTTTTTAGGGTGGTTTGATGTGGGTATGTTTTTTAGGGTCATTCATCGTAGAGAAGGACTTTTTTGTTAGGATGAGATTTTTGTTGTTTATTGCCCCCCTTTTTTTTAAAGGATGAAATGTATATTGTTCTCCATAATATCGTGTTGTTCACCTACCACTTACAACCTTGTTGTGTATATTAATTAATAACTCCGTTGGATTGTTTTTGTTTCTTTTGTTATTGATGGCTTGTGTTTAGGTATAGTCTTAATTTTTGTTTGCTGCGTTACTGTTCTGTTTATAATGTACAAGGATAGGTAGCTCTGATTCATTTAAGTCAGATAAGTTTTAGACTGTAAACAATTTTCTATAGCTTTTTTTAGCGGTTTTATATCACTATAATGTTTTCTCTAATGTTAATGCCAGGTATTAAAACTTATCTTTTGTACATATGTAGAGACTAAAACTTGTTGAACTATTCATTTGGTTTATACAGTATTTCCCAAGTTTTAGTCCCTATATTAATAAATTGTAAGTTTTAGTCCTTATACAGTTTTTTTTTGTAGTGGTTTGTATTACTTTTATACCGCCAAAAAAGTTTTTATTAATGGCATGGATTAAAACTTACCGTTCTCATATAGGAATTTAAACTTAAAATGAGGACTGTAGGGACTAATCGAATAATTTAATGTTGAGGGAATAATACTTCAATGAACACATTCTGCTTGAATCTGGAAATACTAGAGTTGTTAATAAGACAGTCTTTTACTAGCTGGAAACTGATAATTTGAGCTCTAATATAAATTTTTTTATTATTATTCTGAAGGTATCTGCAGCAGCATTCATCTTATTTCCTATAATTTTGACATCTTTGTTAGTTTGTCCTTGTTGGTATAGATATTAGGAAACTTTATTTCGGCAGGTTATATGATGTGCATGTTTGGTTTTGCCTTTTAACTACTGGTTTCGCATCTTATTTCTTATTATTTTACATCTTTGTCCTTGTTGGTGCTGATGTTAGGAACTGTATTTGGGTAGGGTAGGGTTATAAGATGTGCACTTTTTAACTACTGGAACGTGCGTTACAAGTTGCAGCTTCTGGGTTATTTTTCTTTATGGACATGGCTTTGTTACATACGCTTCGTATTTTACACTGAAATCCTAAGACAAAAACACGCAATATCTATATCTCGATCTTCAAAATGAAAATTGATAATGTGAACAAATAGGTTCATAATAAAGACAGACATTCATAATTTGTCAATAATGAAGGTTGATGGTAGTGGTATCAATATTGGTTTGGAATACTGAAGGTTGATGGTAGTGGTATCAATATTGGTTTGGACTAGACATGGTGATTCTTTATCGTGTTTACTTCCCCGTTGTAAACTAGCTTATAGAAAAAATTTCACATCCACATCAATTATCAATGAGGGAAGCTCTAAACTAATGTGTATTCAACATGTAGATAGTTTAATATGAGATGCAACAACAATGGAGGCTAATGTTAGGGTGACTGTAATGAAGGTGACCAAGTTGACATCAAACGAATATTTTTTTAGTAATAAAGGAGTTTAAATTAGAGTAATACACGATTATATAAGATCAAAGTTTACTATCTACTTTTATGAGAATTTCTAGTGAAACTATGAATAATTTATCCTATTTATTGCTAGTTTGTATGGAAAGATATAAAATATAAAAATAAAAAAAAATTGAATCCAAGTCTTAATCAAACAAATATGATAATATGGAAGACTCTAAATTAACAAGAATAGAACAATGTCTAGAGAGTGTAATGCAACACCTATATTGCATTAGGCGATGCTTGTAGCTTATATAAGTAAAGGTAAGCAACCAAGAATCCATACAAATGCATGAACAAAGGTGTAAGAGATTCAAAACAACAAATTAAGAACAAAAAGCAAAGGCTAGAAGCCAAGTTGGATACAAGAAACGGTAATTAAAAAAATGGCACCACACATTGTTGCCCATGAATGAGAAAGTGATAGAGGAAGGATGAAAATCTTTTATATCTAAATCCTGTCTATAATTTCTGTCGTCTCTAATCACTAAATATCACATCACTTTAATATATATTAAAATAAAAGTTGTTATTGTAAATTTAAAAATTGAATGGTTTTGAAATAATTTCTATATGGACCAATTAATTAAACAAATATAAATAATAATTTCATATCAACTTTCTTAATAAATTTTATGTTTTTTACTAATAAATTCTTATCGATAAAATCTTAGCAAATCTTAAGGTATTGGTTTGAGATCAAAGAAAACAATAACTTGAAATCTTTCCGATATCAATATACTTCTTCTCTTATTCGCTTCTCTGGTTCATATTTCATCTCCAACTAATACTTTTTTCTTTGATCAATTAGGAAAGCAATTGGAAACAACTAAAACGTGACTATATAACAAAGTTATGACACGAGGGTTATGTTTTCATTCATCTCATACGTGCCTATTTTCTTATTCGTTTCTATGTTTGATTCATATTTCATCTCTAACTAAATTTTGGTTTTTTGATCAATCAAGAAATCAAATGTATTTACAAAGGCAAGAGAAAATCTTCTTTCGTTTAGAAACAACTAAACTTGACAATATGTAATCACACACCTTCTCTAAAATTCTCTCCCAAACAACTATTCAATATTGTGTTACGTCTTCTCTCTTCTCTTTCGTCTGTTATCTTTCACGAATTGTCAAACTATACTAGAATACCATTTTGCTCGCATTGAAGGTATGTAGTTTATTGACTTAGCTTTGCTATTGTTTTCTCATCTCTACTCTCTTCTTTCAATCAATATATATGTGCATCTTGACATTTTTAGTTCCTCTCTAAAAGCATCAACTTTGCTTCTTTTGTGTGTGATTGGATTAATTAATTGAATAAAATAGTGGTTATGGTTGTATTATTACATTGTATACATTAATTATATTTTATTATTGTAGTGTGTTATTTTGGTTTATTATAGGATTGAAATGTTTAATTATTAAGATATTTATAAGAATTTTAATATATTTTTATATTATAAGTTTATGGAGCCTTAATAAATTTAAGTAATGTCTCTAGTTTATGAATTTTTAGTTTGTCATTCATTATTGAGGATGTGGTTTTATATAAGTTGTGAAGCATTTTTTACTACGATTAATTAGGATTTATAGGTCATTCTCATGCTTAGATATGTATGAAAGTCATAAAACCATTAAATCATTTTCTAACATGCAACAATATTAACAAAAAAATAAGACTTGATAAAAAAATATTATCAAATTTTAAAACGTTAAATAATTAATTAAATAAAATATTATAAAAAAGTAATTAAATAAAATATTTAATTGAATTTTAAATTATAATAAAATTTTCCGATGTATATAACTCTGTTTCACTTGTCACTAGGTCAATCATTTTTTAAATATCAAGATAGTTTTGATTGCAACTCTATACATATAAAATCAAAGAAATACATGTGTGAAACCATTTATTCTACCATTTTTTTTTATAATTTACAATGAAGATTATTACTAACCTCTACTATAAAAAAAAAGTATTACTAACTTACTAATTATTTGAAGTTCTAAATATAGATCACGATACTTTAAATAAAATTTTATTTAAAATTAATTTTATAAAATCAATTTTGTTAACCCTTGTCTAAATCATTCAAATCTGAAGCTTGGTTACACGAAAAAAGTGCTAAGAACCGGAGTGGATCCGACCCGGACGATAGAGGTAGTTTGATTTTAAATAGGCGTAGAAAGAAGACGGTGCGTTTTTCAAATTTACAATTACAAAATGTTGAGAAGGAAGCCAACGAAAATCGAAGTGAAAATCGAAGACAAGGAAGAACTGGAGGAAGCTCGCCGTCGCTACGCCGCTTCCATTGCCACCCCCAACGCCGCCACTGCCACCGCCACTCTCCTCCGCCAATTGGATCGCGGCGGCGCCGAGGATCCTTCTTCCATAGCGCATCGCATCGGCCTCTCCTCCTAACGCCTTCGCCACACTCTCCCAATGCAGCTCCAACTGAAGCTGCGTAATTGGATAAGTGAGTGAAATTTCATTCTGTCATTTGGAATTATGCTTTTCTGTTTTGGAGTGCAGCATGAATAACGATAAATTTATGTTTTGCACATATTGTGTTTGATTTATGGTTTCCATTTGTTATTTCGATAGATTGGTCTTTCAAAGGTTTTAGAATGATGTTTGACTCTTATCAGTCTTATGTAACTGATGACTTTGATAAAACTTCATTGGAAGATATGTAGAGAGTAGAGACACCTTGTTTGGTAGATTGGGGAGGGGAGTGAAGCAGAGGAAAATACTAATTTATTATGATATATTTAAAATGAAAAACTCAAATGCGTGTTATATAGTAATTGATTGAGACTATAGATATTTGATAATTCTAGACTACCTAATAATTTCTTGCTTTTTGTGTACTTGTTTGATAAAAACATAAAACATTGTCCATCAATTATATCTTCTCTTTTTACCTCTTCATAACTTCTTTGATGAAAAGAAGCACATTTCACTGCCTCTTCAAATGGCCAAGAAAAGCAACCTTGATTCACCTTTGATTTGTTATCAAAAACTGTTGCCAAATAATTAAGAATGACAACAACAACTTTGAGATTTTGATACCCGCAATCTAGTTTGAAATTCATCCAAGCCAAAGCAGAACAATTCATTAGAAGAGCAAGCTTTCAAGCATCCTTTACTAAGTGTCTTGGTATTTGTCTTTCATGAAAAGATAATGTCGTCCTTCCTCTTTGCAACAATATGGTCTTGCCTATTATCCTAATGTGAATCTGTATCAATTTTGTAAATTTTTTTTTTGAGATAAGGCAGGATCAGCTGAAGCAAAATAACCTGCTAATTTTCAGATAGTTGAGAGCCTTTAACAAAAGGAAAACATATTGTTGTGGGACCTCAACTGTCAATAGTTTCATTGTTTTCCCAAAAGTAACCAACCGCACTATAAGCAATGGATCATAGTGGATTTTAACATAGCAGGTGACCAATTGGATGACCTTATCAAGCAAAATAACGATCTACTCCATAACAAACCAATGAATAATCTTATGAAACACATCTCTAAACCATTCATAAGAATCATAACCCAGCCAGATATCAGGGTGTTACATAATATGAGATCTACTTTTTCCATTTGAACAAACATTCTTCTTGCATAATAAACAAAACCGATGTAATGTACATAT